TCTCGGATTCAGATCAGAGGTCATATTTGATTTAAAGGCGTGTTGTCATTATTCTTTCTCATAGAATCTCTTTGAAATGATTACACAAGTTGCAATGTATAATTAATTATATAACTTAACTAGTCGCATCTCATGTGCGTACCATAATAGCTTAACTACTTGACAATACAATAGATAGTTCAGATTTTTACGAGTATGTGTATACCTAAACCAAGTCTATTGCGTTTCTTGTATTGTTTCTAAATACATAAAATAAATTTATTGCAGAATAAAGTAGATAAAGGTATAGTGACGAAACAGAGGTCTGCGAGGTTAAATATCACGTTAAATTTACGAAACAAAAAATGTCTTATTCCCTTTATTGTTAATTATTATTNAAGCCTGTACTGAATAAAAACAGTATTTAAGTAAAAATCTTCTAATTTCAGCTTTGAAACTTTAGTTGTGTAACAGACAGTGGCAACCTATTGTAAAGCCAAAATTCCAGTGAATTACATTTTGATTTTTTAAGTCGGTAGCAGTCCACTCTAATTGTATTACAGCTTCTTGTGTTATACTTATGTATATCTGACTCATGATGAAAGTTGTCAATATGTTTATGTATTTCAATAAGTGTAAAATAAATGTATAGGCAAGGCAAAGGTAAAATGCGTTAAGCAATGAAGTACTGTTGGCAATGCTATCTGCTACTTAAATTGGGTATCACTCTAATTACCTTTTTTTGTATGCAGAAGATTTTGTGTGACTGCCTAGAATTTCCCCACAATGCGACCGCGTAACACAAGCGGGAGTGAAACAGAGCAAAATAGGTGGAAATTAGAGTGTTCTGACTAACTACGGGTTTTAGTTGTCTAATTAGAAAAATGGTACTTGGTAGCGACTTCAACAGATATTCAACATGACCTGTCCAATTCAGGCCATCATAAAGTGTCACACCCAACAGCCTCACACGGTCACCCTTTGTTATCGTTCTGTTGGAAATAAAAAGTTCCTGAGTTTTCTCCACATTAATTTTGGGTATATTAATATTAAACCAATTTTCAGCCTGGTTTTTTAGCAGCTGTTTTTAACTGAAATAAATCCCTATGCGAGACAATTAGGGTAGTATCGTCTGCAAACAGTATACACTTGTTGGGGGACAAAAAATGGTGAATATCATTAATGAAGATCAAAAATAGTATCGGTCCTATAATGGAGCCCTACGGTATACCGTGTTGAATTTTCTCAAATTTAAACGCATCATAGTTTTTAGTAACAACACATTGTTGTCTATCTTGAAGGTAAGCAGTAAAAAATTTCACAGACAAACTTCTTATCCCATAGTGCTCCATTTTAGTTAATAGTAGATCGTGAGGAACGCAGTCGAAGGCCTTCGTGAGATCGCATAGGACAACGGCCGTATGCTCACCCTCCTCAAACCCCCTAACTGCCTCCCTCACGACATGACGCACTGCATCGGATGTAGAATGGTTAGGCCTAAAACCAAACTGACCAGCACACAGAATAGAATTATTTTCCAGAAACTTACATAAGCTTTTTTTAGTAGTCGCTCTATAATTTTACCAAAAATTTGTATAATTGAGATTGGTCGGTAATTGTTTATGACATTCGGATCACCTTTCTTAAATATGGGTATAACTTTTGACAACTTAAAACAACGGGGGAATATTCCCTTTCTAAAGCAAGCATTGATAAGCAAAGTAAGGTGTGGAAGTATAATTTCAATCGTCTCTTTAATTAGTTTAGAATTAAGCTCGTACACGTCAGTACTGACAGAATTTTTCAGTGATTTAACAGCATACAGAACAGTGTCTTCAGTTACTGGTTCTATAAAGAAGGAACCAGCAGGAGAAGGAACACCAGCCAGTGTATTTACATTAGATATATTACCAACTGGTAGTGTTTTTTTATTGAACTAGCTATATTTATGAAATAGTCATTTAATTGATTTTCAGATATTGTAGACAGGTTTACTGACTGAACCTTATTTCTCTCCTGGTTGACAATGTTCCAGCTGGCTTTTTCTTTATTATCGCAGCTTTTTTTGCTGCATTAATAGCAAGTGTATATTCCTTTTTTAGATTGGTATAAATACTATACCAAATAAAAGGGAAAAAGAAAGGGGAAGAAGTAAGAGGAAAAAGAAGCATGATATCTACACACATTAGAATCAACGTATTTTTCTACTTTCATTCTGCTGAACAGTACCTAATACGTTACAACCATTTTTCCTGTGAAAGAAAACCGCATTGAAATTGTTCCATGAATTATAAATACACATATAAGTATCTAGATATCTTCTTAATATTTAGAACTGTTAAGTTGGACAAATGACACTTCAAATTCCGGTAAGTGAATAATACCTATGTTATTTTTAGAGCTGTTTTAGAATTCTCTTTTTCGGGTTTTATGGTAATTGTGACAGGAACAATTTTTTAGAATTATTGTAAATGTATTTGTATTTTTTGTTTGTTTTAATACCTTAACGAATTTTATTAAAAACATTGTTTGTATTTTAGAGCCCTGAGGATGGTGTAAAATAACACCAAAACGTTTTAAAATATAGTGTTCTTTTATTTATTGATCTTTATCCCACTAAAACCTTGACTTGGATAACTAATCAAGATCGCAAAACAGTGGAAACATAATTATAAATACTATAATCTAATGGATTTTTTGAGACATCATATCTTGTTTTAATAACAGAAATATTTTTTCTCATTTCTTTGAGACTATCGTCAGGGATGGGCGTTTACGCGTCGACTTTAATTGTCGACGTCTACGTGTAGACGTCGCGTAGACTATGTAAACAACGTAGACTATGTAGACAATGTAGACAAAGCGGAGTTTGCGCTCTAATTTCAGTTTAATCTAACCTATATTATACTTGCGTTACATTTACGTATGATCTATTTTGTGCTGTACTCAAATTTTTCTGTTTGGCTGTTTTTACATAAACAAAAATGAGCGGACGTAAAGTAAATTTAACAGAAATGTTAAATTTTTGTGAAACACTGCCGATTGTTTTAAATGGAACAACATTATATTATGCAAAATGTAAAAGGCACTTTTCGGATTTAAAAAATACACACTTTGTATATAGTTACTTTCAACATTTCACGATTTAATACAATAGGTACGTATTTTACGTTTCAAATAGTGAAATTTTTATTAAAACAGTTATCAACAATATTATGCTTTATATCTTGCTTCAGTACTTGATCCAGCGTTATTATTAATATAATATTCCTAACCTAATACAGATGCAATATTTCACATTCATTTTCAGTGCGTGTACCCCCATCCCATATACTTACTACAAGTGTACCCTCATTTTTACCAATAATTAAAACAATTTAAATATCGACAGCAACTGTCTTTAATACTAGATGTCATTAGTGTCTAAAATTTGAAATAACTTAGACAAATGTTACATTCATTTGACAGCTGCCTACTTAGAATTGTTTAAATGAGAAAAGGGTTCTCTTTTCAAAATTTGAATGATATACAGGGTGTTTAAAATAGTCGACATCACATAGCTAAGAAAATTACATTTCCATTCATTTATTTTTTCTGACAGCAGATTATTTTTCAAAATTTAAATAATATACAGGGTATTTCGTTTAAAATAAAAACACCTTTTTCTAGTTTTGAGAGTTTCTTAATTGTTGACATTGTCGACATTGTCTACATTGTCGACTCTTCCAAATTAAGTCTTCATCTAGATCATTGTCTACGCGTAGACAATTGCATTGTCTACGTTGACATTGTCTACCCGCCCATCCCTGACTATCGTTAAACCAAATAAAAGAAGATTTATTACTACCAACCTTAATTGGTTTCAAAGGAAATAATTTTTTTTATTAATTCCCGGTAAGTTGAACATAAAAAATCTGAAGCCGAATCAATGTCCATGTGCTCATCAGTAAAAAGGTTCCAATCCACCACCCTCAGCAAATTCTTAAGTTTTTCAAATCCGGATCTTGTGATTTGCCTTCTAAACATCGGTTCATATTATGATGTGTCTACCTTTAAAAATCATGTAAAAACTTTTCCAACTTTTTAATTAATAAAATCTTTTTTCCTCATATGAAATCCTGCGTTTGTCGAGGGGCACCCTATAGTTTAATTAAAGTAATGTAATTAAAAATCTTATTTCTATAGAATCTGACTAATACTTATACATATTAAATAGCATATTTATTGGATAGACTAGTAATATGTACTTGATTTATCTGTTATTCGGAATTATTAGTATTTTGAGGTAAAGATGTTTGGCCTTCTAGGTCGCCGAATTGATTATAGTAAACTTCTCGGACTGGTTCATTTTAGAGCCAAAAATTTCACGAGGATGACAGAGCATCATAGCGGTGATCAGGACGTGATGTTAACACAAGTTTGTGGGGAATTTAAAAAAAACACTCAAAAATGTGTTACAGCCCAGAAACAATTTTGAACGATTGTTGTAAAGTTTTTTTACTGTTCATAAAAATCTAATAAAATCATTTTCAATAATTGAAAAACACTTTTGTTAAGTGGAAAAATATGCTACCAATATTTTCCTTTCTGTAGGGAGATGAAAACGTTTGACAGAATATACGAGTATAAATTGTTAATATTTCTACAAATGTAGAAATGGTTAAAATGTAAATTTTCCGAATTTTTAAACAAAATTTGACACAACATGTAACAGATATATTTTTACTACAACTGTTGGTACGAATTTTTATGACAATATTTTTTCGGTAGGGCAATTTTTCAGTTTTTTATTCTATCCCGTCACGATAGACTTGAGCGGAAATAAAATTATCTTTGCATTTTTAATAAAAACTAAACTTTGAATCTACTTCTTATTGTTTGAACGCAAATACATACAAAACGTGTGCGTGTTTATTTAGAAAATAAATAGATAAATATCTTCAACATTATCATAAGGCTGAAGAATAATATGCATTTGAAAAGTATTTAAATTGCAGTTAGTTACATAGTACATTGGATAATAATTACGCCGACAGGTCGTGCATATATAAATTCCCTTGTTACAAAGCCATCTTCACAGTGACCAATACGATTGTAATATGAAGACATTGGTGAGTCTTAACATGCTTTATTAGATTATTTTCATTTCACTAAACTTCTTAAAAAATGTACTTGCTTTCAATAGTGGCAGTCGGCTAAATTTAGAACTTTTTTGATTAAAAACTAAGATTTGAACAGTTGTATATTTGACAGAATATTACTTATTTAAAAGTGGGAATAGGAATGACAAGGCGATAAATATAGCTTATGTTTAACTTTAGATTTTTTTAGAATTTGAACTATGAAGAAACCTAAATCCTCATACAAAAAAATGGATGTGATACATGCACTTACATGAATAAAATTAACAACTAAAACTAGAAGCCAATATTAGTTACCTTTTAAATAATATTATCACAAATAATAATAATAATAATAATAATAATANATTATCATTATCATTATCATTATCATTATCATTATCATTATCATTATCATTATCATTATCATTATTATTATTATTATTATTATTACTGTGTTTTAATTCAATGTGAAACTATAAAGTGCGAACGGCAGCTCTTGTAACGGTGGCGAAAAAGAAGTGGATCAGTTCCAATCTATTTCAACATAATAGTTATCCAGTTTGAGGAAACTTTACAGGGATAAATAAAATGATAATAAATGGGGCGCCAACCTACAAATAAAATTACTGTTACAGCCCCTATAATAGCTTTCTCACCCTGTTGGTAGGGATTGTAGAATAAAATGAATACTAAAAAAATTTAGATATATATTTCTCACTCCACTTGTCCGCGGAGATAGACAGGGATGTTCTGCAAACTGTCACGGAATAGGTTGGCATAGAGGTAGACAATTTTGAAGTTCGCCAATAGACTTAAATCTCTTCCTTCAGCTACCACAAAGATATACACACAGGTTGATAGGCTTAAAACTTTCTATAATGGGTCGAAGTCAGCTAAAGTGTGGACAGTCACGTCCACCAGACAATATTGATGGTTAAATCAATAAAATCTCTTATTAAATTAATTTAAACAGTCAGATTTAATATCGAAAACTGTTGAACTCTTATCTGCCCAAAAAACTCTTAAATCAATCTTTAACTAAATTACTAAATCTTTAAATATTTAACTAAATCACGAAATAACTAAATCTTTGGATAAATCTTTAATTATTTAAATAAATAACTAAATTACTAAATAATTAAATCTTTAACTGGTATGTTCTAAGAGAAGAAAGAAAATAATATTAGCACATGGTTGTTCAGTATTGAAGGTTAAAATTTATATAACTTAAGTAACTAGACTAGTCACTGAATCAAAGAGACCTCAAATCGTTCCATCTTGGGTTTTATTAGAAAAATCTCATAAAAAGCCCAACCACTACGATTAGTCATTCGAAACGAAATAAATTTCAGACCAGTAATTTGCTACTCCATCACCATGGAACAGGTTCAATAATTAATCAACATTATAGGTCCAAACTTAAGAATCGTCGCGTCGCTTCACTTAGATACGAGTTCTAGATATGATCTAGTAGGCATCGAGTTCACTGATGGAAACTATCAACAGAACCTTCAACACTTGACAACCCAGCGTAACGTAACTATCAGAATTGTTTGCAATTTTATAACAATATTAAAAGGAAATAAGAATAAAAATGTAGTACAGTTAAATTATAAAACTACAGATGGTAACACAATTCGATAGAGTTTTACATTTAGTTTTAAAAATGTGGTGTCTCCAGGATGCATATACAGGTAGTGGTAAAAGTTTACAATGTACAGTTTATCGTATAAGTGCTCTGTGAGATGTTGTATATTATAGCAATGACTTACACAATGTAGTAACAATACAAAATTACACAGGTGGAATGGAAACAAAAATAAAATACATGACATCAAAGTTAAAATAACGAGAACGAACGGACGAATATTATTGTTAAAAACTGTGACATTCACGTTATACAGATAGTGAATGTTACAATATTAAAACTAATCCCACTGATTTCTTCAATTTATAATACATGAGAGCATTGTGTACAAACTGAACTATTTTCAATGAGAATCCACAATATTTTAGAAACTCAACATTCTAGAACTCAATTTCCAATACAACTTCAACTGATATCTAGATTTGTTTTCTAGTTATAGGCGATATTTATTTTTTTGGTAATTTGGGCTACTTTTATATTTGTGTAATATAAGGAGTTAAAGTAAAAGCTGCAATAAACTGCTCAGCATATGTAGAATTTTTAGTGAATATTATATGAAGCTATGAAACAAACTTATATTTTTATAAATGGGAATCGTAAAACATAATTTTCTGTGATTTGCAGTGATGTACATGGTTGACACAAATGGTACCTACCGGTGAATTGTACAGTTAAAAAAATACGTTTTGCAAAAAATGACCTTAGTTCGCCTGTTAGGACATCCCTTTATATTTTCAAAATAAAAATAGAGAAACGACTGTAATTTGAACATTAAAAAATTTATAAAGGTCAAATTTTATACAAATTTTCTTCAAATATAACAACTTTTCAACCATTTTTCGTTAAACGTATATAAATAATGATAGATAAATAACATCCATTATCACTTGCATTCCAACTCAAATGACTGCAACTAATAAGAAAAATATAAGTAGACGTGTGTCATGCAAATTTCTGTCACATATCTTGTTTTATAAGTTCCTTCTTGGAAAAAATTCTAAAACTGAGCTTTTGAGTTTCTTCTGAAGAAAAGATGTATTTCTCTCTAGAAACGTCAGAAAGTTTAAACTAACGATGGATGTAGCAACCAGTCCGGAAACTGCTCAACAATCACAGTTAGTTTTACAAATATGAGCAATACAGAGTTTAATATTTGACCGGGAATACCAATTTTAATCTGACTACGACGTATGATTTCGCTGTTTATTTTTTATATACAGGATGTGTCATTTAACACTCCCGCAAAATGTTCTTTTAAAATACTGTTATATTGGCTTTATTCACACCACATACTAACAAACAATAAATTATAAAAAAAATGAATGATCAACTACAGAAGAAAATTGTATAATGGTAAATCTTATAAGGGGGCAAACATGCATGAACTGTATTTTATCAAATCTTATTAAAAAATGCAGTCACAGGTGGCTCATGTCATTTGTTTAAAATAAAACATGTATGACAGTTGCCATATACTAATTTTCCAATAATTACAGTTTTATCAGCTTGCGTCTACCTTTCAATTTAACTATACTAGTTATAAAATTTACCATTGTATAATTTTCTGTATTTGATCATTTGTTTTTTTTTATAATTTATTGTTTGTTAGTATGTGGTGTGAATAGTCACTATAATAATATTTTAAAAGAATATTTTGTTTTGGTGTGATTTAGATAAAATAATAGATTTTCATATTACATCATATTGAAGTCGACATGTCTCGAAAACAAGTAAATAATGGAAAAAACTTTACAGAAATTACTCAAAATTTAATGATCTTTCAGATTGACTGCATTTCCACGTACCAGGGATAAAAATATCTTTTAGTATCGCCACGCCATCTATACAGAAAGATTTGAAATTCTAACTACAATTTGAAGCTAATTGAGGGACTTAACAACCCCAGTTTGGCACCCCTGTATACAGTTTCTGCTGAACTAAGTAGCATAGTGATGTTATTATACGCGACCCACAACGATTTTCTTTGCGATTTTTCGTGCAGTCATATCCTTTATATGACAACGCATCTTAGGTAATTTAGCACCCATGTTAACTTTATTTCTCAAATTTTATTAAATTATAACCAACTTAAAACAAAAAAAATTGAAAAACTTTGTTCAATTGTATTGATAAAAGTAGTAGTAAGTGTTTTGAGTGTACTTAAAAGCTTTAATAAGACTAGACCTTTTACGTTGCGAAATAAAAAAAGTATAGTCTTTTGTTAAACATGGTAAAGATAAATAAGTAGTTAAGTTTTTCCGAATGATTTATTGCACAAAATTGCAAGAAAAATATATTCTTAATTTTTATGTAAAATCTATTCAGTAGTCTCTTCTATTACCACAGCCGCTTTTGACCAAGAGAATACTTTATTGTGGGAATATTAATGGGGCCGAAAAAGACGCATTTTAAAGGAACATCATGTTAACGTTTTTGACCCTGTTGAAGTCTCGTTAATTCGAGTAAAAGGGTGGTATGGATTTTTTGCTGGTGAGGTGATTGTTCCGTTTTTTTTAATGAGGCTGGAAATGGAGTGACTGTCAATGGAGAACGATATAAAAAGATGGTATGGATTCGGATGATATGGTTCCAGCAGGATGGTGCCATCGGCCATAAGGCACGTGTAACTATTTACTTGTTACGACATACATTTAATGGACGACTCATTGCACGTAACAGTGAAATGACTTGATCAACAAGATCAAGCGATCTTACGCCATGCGACTTTTTCCTGTGGGGATTCTGCTCAAATGAATACCATTCTTGAATTAAAGGCAGAAATTCGGTGTTATCAATTCGGCCGCAGATATTCGAAAGTGTGATACAAATTTTTCTTAAAAAATGTCGAGCATACCAAATAAGTGGTGGAGTACATCTGTCAGATATCCTCTCATAGATAGATAGATAGATGGATGGATGGATGGATGGATGGATGGATGGATGGATGGATGGATGGATGGATGGATGGATGGATGGATGGATGGATGGATGGATGGATGGATGGATGGATGGATGGATGGATGGATGGATGGATGGATGGATGGATGGATGGATGGATGGATGGATGGATGGATGGATGGATGGATGGATGGATGGATGGATGGATGGATGGATGGATGGATGGATGGATGGATGGATGGATGGATGGATGGATGGATGGATGGATGGATGGATGGATGGATGGATGGATGGATGGATGGATGGATGGATGGATGGATGGATGGATGGATGGATGGATGGATGGATGGATGGATGGATGGATGGATGGATGGATGGATGGATGGATGGATGGATGGATGGATGGATGGATGGATGGATGGATGGATGGATGGATGGATGG